TAGGCAATTGTCGAACCACGTAAATATTCTTGTGTTATTGTGTGTGATTAATTTCTGGTGTCTCACAATCCCAACAAATATTCGGATGCATTCATATGTCCTTTTAAAGTCCTTTGGTGTTTGATGTGAGGTTGATATAAACATTGTTCCCCTATTCTTTAGACAACAATTTAAAAAAATGACTACATTAGATAAATGTGTAAAAATTAGAGATGCAATTGATACAAATTAAAGATTATAAATAAAAATAAAATTAATTGCATAATTTAGAGACCATTGTGTAAAAATTATTAGGTGCACTTGGAGCATGCTATACTCCACTAATTTTTACTCCATTTTTTCTGCTAAGAATGTTGGGCTTATCAGCAAAATTGATGAACTGAAAAATGGAGATGAAATCATGTTTTGTAACTCCAAACGATCAAATATCTCACCTCAAAAATCCACGAAAGAAATTATATATTTGATATACGGAATTATTGTACAGCCATCCAATAGAACTGCTTCCTAGTCTATATATGGTGCTCCAAAACCCAATAGAAAAGATTGAACAATGTAGGAAAAATTGAATCCTGAAATCCGTCATTACACGATTCCATAAAATTTGTAACTAATGTACCTAATGATACAGTGGGAATAAATGATTGAGCACCAGCAGTTCAATTGAGAGAATACACGAAGAGAGGCTCAGCTAATGCAACTCTAGAATTATGTGAAAGCATATTTGATATCAATTTCACCGTTTGAAGGGTTGAAGGACGCCTCAATTTCCGCTGAAATGTTACCTCTACTCGATCCATGGATTCCAACTGTGACTGGCTTGGCCAACAGCTTAATTCCTTGCTTCCAGTATCTTTTATCTGAACACACATGTAAGATAAGAAAAAGCCCGAGAAAGTTTCATGCATTATTTCAAAAGTCTGTTGTAAACGAGGAACTTCCAGTTTCCCCCTTTTTTGTTAAGTAGGCGAGTTCAATAGTTTTAAAGCATAAAGATGGTATAATTAAGTGTGACAAACAGCAAAAATAGATACCAACTTTCCAGTATTTCACTCTAGCACAAAACTCAAGCATACCGGGTCCTGTTGAAAGCACAATGGAGTTATCAATGTCCATCACCCAATCAATCCAGAGCACAAAACCATGGCATATCCCAGGCTCCGTAAATTCAACCTAGACAAATTTCTTTGTAAGTATACATTTGATACCTGGTTCAGGTATTGCAGATCCTGGTGCAGGACCAGTTTTACACAAGCACATTCAAAAGCAGGGATAATTCAATACCTGGACTTTCCCAAAACAAGGACTAATGGGTTTTGAGAAATCAAACTCCATGACTGTAGATATCTCACTGAGCACCTGAAATGATTTGAACTCAAATTGCATTTAATATCAAAATGTAATACCATTATATTCTCAAATAAAAAGTACTTTCCATTACACAAATTGATTACCTTATTCTCCCCACACTGCCAAACAAAAAAGGGAAAACAAGGGCTCTCTTGGGATGCGGGTAAATCACCACACGCCCCTAAGGTGGCATTTACTACAGAATGATCAAAACCTTCAATTTTTGTTAAACAGCGACGACTTCTCCAAAGATCCTAGACAAAAAGTTTTAAGTAAACCTCTACCACACAATCACATACTCGGGTCAAGGTAAAAGAGATGATACTTACAGGAAGAGACATTGCACAAGCCTTCAGTATTCCTTTACAAGGCATTATCAGTGCATCATTAGACAGGACTGGATCAAGCGTAGTTCGTTCCTTCCTTAGGTCCATTTCAAAGTGAAAAAACAATTTAGGTAAATTATACAGAGTGGATTGCATTTCAGTAGACCTTTTAAAAAGAACATGGTTATATAAGTCATTATCTATGTGCAGGTGCATCTACACCTCTGTCTGATGTTCAGATAATGCCTTTAAGATCATTTATGTTACAACTATGTCGAATTGAAAGGATAATCTCCGAGTAATATTCAACTTAAGTTTACATAGATATGTTTTAATTATACTCCAGAAAACTTTCAAGTTAAAAAATGTGTCTATACATGCAGCCATGGCAAATAGTAAGTGCCATAAAATTCAGTACTTAAAGGCACTCACTCTCCATGTAGACCTTGCAAACTAATATGACCATTGTTAGAATTTCCCATCTTTACCTTCACCTACTCCACTACACACTCCACTCACACACTCCACTTCACCTAACCCAATATCACCTCCACTACACCTACTACCACATTTTCTTCTATATATAGATTGTATAGGAATTGTAATTAAACAATCTTGTAATACAAATCAATCAATAATACATAAATTCTTACAGTTATCAAATGCTCCTCCCTCTTCTTATACATAGTATTGGCCACCACCAGGTCAGAAGCCAACGCAAAATCTAAGATACTCTCTCCAACCTCATTTCTGTTACCAAAACCGTATCCACCATGCACCCTTTCATAGCCTAGTTTATCTATGCCTACATGGCCATTAAAATCTCCACCAATAACCAGATTCTCTCCTACGGGCATCTCCTGTAAAATCTCATCCATTTGCTCCAAAAAATTCCTCTTAGTCTGATCATCTAATCCTGCTTGAGGGGCATATGCACTAATAACGTTCACTATATTCCCTCCAATAACTAGTTTAACTAACATAATCCTATCCCCTTTCCTAATGACTGCCACTACATTCTCCACCAGACCCTTGGTAATTATGATTCCTACACCATTCCTGTGTCTGTCCTTACCACTATAATACAGTTTAAAACCAATATCTTCAATTTCTCTAACTTTCTCACCCGTCCATTTAGTTTCTTGTACGCAAGCTATACTAACTCTCCTCCTAATCATAACATCTACCAATTCCATTTTGGATTGCTTACTAAATAAATTTTTAAGAGTACAAGGCAATAGAAAATGATGAATCCTATGACATAGTTCTTTTGATCAAATTGTTAAGTTTGATTTTGTTTGATGTAGTTTGTTTAATTTTTGCAAGTAAAAAATATATTTTTTTTAAGTAAATTAAAATTGTTTAAAAAAATGTTGTTAATATTTTAATAAGAATGGTAAATGAATAAAAGATATTATTAAGGAAAAGTAAACTTTTTTAGAATAAATTTTTAAAAAAATAAGACTTAATTGTATACATTAAATTTAATAGGAATCATTAATGCGATTGAAAATAAGATTTATTGATAATTTTATTTAAATTTATTTTTGAACGGACTACGTTGCTCTAGTACCCGTTGATAATTGTTAAAGATAGGATAGGACATAAACCAACTTAGGTGGATGGAAGATTTCTAAAGAATATGATTGGAAATAATTAGAAATTATTTTATAGGATTGGCCTATATTCTATGTGGTTTGTCCTTCCAAGTGTATATGGGCCCATATAACTAATTTTTCATACATTTTCTCCTACATTTGAGACAAACTAATTATGTGTCTCATTGTTATAAGATGGGCACTATCTAGTAAGTTCAGAATAACACGTGTCCATTTGCCCGCCCAATCATATTCTATAATTTATCTACTATTTCCTTATTTTTGAAGCCTAGGGATGGCAATGGTGGTTAATGGGGTGAATATTAATTCTCCATCCCCATTCACTTATAATAATTTTTCTCCATTCCCCATGGGTACTACCCTCCCCATCTCCTAATAGGCTTGAATTTTCCCTAACCCAACTTAAACCTTTTTCTTTTCTTTTTTTATAAATTTTTTTTTTCAAGGTTGACAACCAAAACTAAATATACATTCAATCTTATTCTATTTTATTTGGCTCAATGACAAAATCAAATACACATTAATTAATTAATTAAAAAAATTGTTTTAAAATAATCAAATATATAATTTTGAGACAATCATATAAGTATAGTGATTGAAAAAAAAATGTGGAAGAACAAGAAAGATTAAATATATATATACATTACAACAAAAAAGGCCTATGGTGATGAAAATGCATGATGAAAAAATTTTGTCTCCAAATATGCATATTTTAGTGATGAAAATAAGATTTCGCCTCCAATTGTACTATTTTTAAAGACGAAAACCAAATTTCGTTACCAAATGCTTAAAATCAAATAAAATAATAGGTGACGAAATTGGCCATATTGTCTCACTCAAAAGATTAAACTATTAAAAAGACAAACACCTTATTTGTTATATTATATTCTTATCATGAACCAACTCATAATTGAATTGTTTGATTCTAATAAATTTGAGCTCATACCGAAATTGAGCTAACAAAAACTAGCTGTAGCTGAAGTAGCCCAAAAAACCATATTAGCACAAATCAATCAGGAGCAACCAAGGAATAATACTTCATGTTATTAGTCTCTCTCTCTTTCTTAGTTGATCCTTAAAATACATTCTAATTTATCTCGAGTATACAATCAAATTATTAAAATATTTTTAAACGTAGAATTCATTACCTATTTTGATATAATATTAAATTGTTAATTACCAACTCACTCAAAAGATTAAACTATTAAAAAGACAAACACCTTATTGGTTATATTATATTCTTATCATGAACCAACTCATAATTGAATTGTTTGATTCTAATAAATTTGAGCTCATACCGAAATTGAGCTAACAAAAACTAGCTGTAGCTGAAGTAGCCCAAAAAACCATATTAGCACAAATCAATCAGGAGCAACCAAGGAATAATACTTCATGTTATTAGTCTCTCTCTCTTTCTTAGTTGATCTTTAAATGAATTTTACTTTATCTCAAGTATACAATCAAATTATTAAAATGTTTTTAAACGTAGAATTCGTTATCTATTTTGATATTATATTAAATTGTTAATTACCAACTCATTCAAAAGACTAAACTACTAAAAAGACAAACACCTTATTAGTTATATTATATTGTTATCACGAACCAACTCATATTTGAATTGTTTGATTCTAATAAAATTGAGCTAACATAAACTTGCAGTAGTAGAAGCAGCCCAAGAAACCTTATTAGCACAAACCAATCAAGAGCAACCAAGGAAAAAAATTAAAAATAAAGCAGGAATAATACTTCATGCTATTAGTCTATCTCTCTTTCTTAGTTGATCCTTAAATAAATTCTAATTTATCTCAAGTTTAAAATCAAATTATTAAAATATTTTGAAACGTAGAATTCATTATCTATTTTGAAATTATATTAAATTGGTAATATAGCGTTCCCGATTTCTCGTTCTTCATTTGTTGTATCCGAACTTAGGCACCGTGAAGTTGGTTGTTGTATATGTCTCGTTTACTTCCTTTACTCTTTGTATTTGAGTCTTGGGTTGTGTTGGGCAGAGTTGAAACGGGTTGGTTGAACTTAAAAACCAAAAGTAGTTGCCCAGAATTTAGCCTTCACGCTCGAGCAGAGATTTTGACGCTCGAACGGGCCCTTCGTTGTTGCTTCTCCGCTCGAGTGGGAGTTTTGACGCTCGAACGTGAATATCCATCTCCCAGTATTTTCCTCTGCAGTGTTTGACGCTCGAGCGGGCGTTTCGACGCTCGAGTGTGAGTTTGTGTGTGACGCTCGAGCGGGGAGTTTTATGCTCGAGCGGGGACCTGGTTCTGCAAAAGTTCTGAAAGTGTGCATCCAGCGCTCGAGTAGGGGTTTGAATACTCGAGCGTGAGTCTGTGTCTGACGCTCGAGCGGGAAGTTCCACGCTCGAGTGGGGTGACGTATATATCACTCCGAGATTTAGCTTTTTGGATCACTTTTTCACCTCCATTTCTCTCTCTTACTTTTCAAAACAGCCATTGGAGAGCTTCTCTCACTAAAACCTCCACTTCTCTCTAGGGTTTGATCTAGTTAGAGTAATATTTCACCCTTTGGCCTTTGTAAAAAGTGTGTTGATCGTCGAGGGCAACATTTTGATCCGAAAATTTTGGGATTTGGAGCATCTTCGTTTTCTTCATCTCTTTCGTCTCCTTCGTTGGGTTTCATCTTTTGAGGTAGGGATACCCTACTCCTTCTTATGAGCTTTGCCTTTAAGTTTTGGCATTTTGATATGTTAGGAGTTGTTGTGTGATTTCGGGAAAAGTTTGGGTCTTTGTGTAATTTACAAAAGATGGGGGTTTTGTATTTAATAACCCATATTCATGTAGGACATAGAGAAATGGGGTTAATGTTGGATTATTGGGGAAATGGAACCTTTGGGTTAATGTGTGAGTTATGGGAAAATGCCGTAATTAGTTTGAATAATTAATTTGTATAATTACTTTTTGGGAAATGAGAAATTGAATTGAGAATATTCAAATTGGAAAGATATAAAATTAAATGGTGTAGTTAGAATCGATTTATCGCTCACCTAGTTGAAAAGTGGATAGTATATCCTTTTGACGCATTTATTTTCTGTTTAGAAATAACTGCTTTGGGCTATCGGTGGAGGATAGTCTTGATTGTTATAGATAATGCATGAGGATTAGGCGAACTAAAACTAATCAATTAAATGTGTCATCGAATATGATGGTTGGAATAATACATTAACCTTATGTATTAATTGATTATGTATATGATCTGTGTTTATATACATTGTGTTGTGTAGGAGGAGATAGGGGATGTACTCCACAGTTTAGGGGAAGATGGGGGATTGACCTCTAAACCGGATGTTGCTTGACATTGATACAGCACTAAAATGTGTATCATTTGTGAAGTATGGAAGTGTTTTTATATGTTATTGATACAACACTAAAATGTGTATCATTTGTGAAGTACGGAAGTGATTTTGTTTGAGATTGATACAGTACCAAAATGTGTATCTATTATG